ATTTTTAACGGCCAGATTCCTCAAATCTGGCCGTATAAAAATTTGCCTGCCCGTAAGGTTTGAAAAGTCACAGCCAAACTATTATTTTGCTGAATTTTTGAAAAATTTACATTTTTTTTCAATATAGGCCTAACATGACTAGACTTGTTTTGCATATGTTATTTTTGCTTTATGGCAGTAAAGTAACACCATTTAGAAAGAAGAATGATTGCCAATAAAGAAAGGTACATGAAATAATTTGAAATTTAAAAAATTACTAGAAAACAGTTAAGGGATAACAAATTGGTAATCAATCGAAAGTAATGAAAATTAAAAATTAAGTAAATAACTGCTTTGTATGGTATGAGAGCAAGTGCAGAGGGAGAGAGATAGATGCAGATATTAAACATCGTTTATATTAAAGCTAGTTTTAGCATAAATGAAATTATGTAAACATAAATCAAATATTTAAATTAATGGTGTGAAGACACTAATATCGAATAGACCTGTCTATGAGATGGCTAATTATCATTTTCAAATGATATATAAACATATGTAAATATTGAAAGGGAAAGAAACGGAAAAGAAAATTAAAGAAAGGAAAAGAAAGAACCGAAAGTAAAAGAAAAAACTGGAAAGGGAAAAGAAATAAAAAAGAATAGAAAATGAATATAATGGAGAAAGTGAAAAGAAATAAAAGAAACATCAAGAAAAGTATATAGATAATTTTAGCATAAATGAAATTACTGTCTCTTATACACATCTAGATGTGTATAAGAGACAGGATTAACCACAACGAATTAGTACATGAAATACGTTCATCAATGACAGCAATACTTCCCGAGGATTCGGACAAAACAGAGATCATGAATCATGCATTGATAATTCAAAGCAAAGTGAAGAACTTTATTAGTAGTTCTCTTTCTTTAATACCAAGCAACATTCCAACTTTCATTGGTAGCCATCTTGAAATCCAATATGGCGGCCTTCTAACATAATTTTCTGATGATTGCATGATACTCTCTGATATTAAAAACATGGTTAAAGGTGTGATTGACTGTGTTACGTTACTGTAGATATGAAGATAATGACAAAAATAACAATACTTTGGCAGCCATCTTAAAATCAAATATGGCGGCCATCTGACATAATTTCTGATGATTGCATATTACTCTCTGATATTGAAAACATAGGTAAAGACCTTTGAATGTTAGTGCTAGGTGCTGTAAATATGAAGATTATTAATAAAAATCCAATATTTTGGCAGCCATTTTGAATTTCAAGATGGCGGCCACTAAGTGGCTTATTTTTTGCAGTCTATTTTTTTAATGATCCTTAGGTGTCATTGTATCACTGTGGGAAGTTTCATACTTTCTTCCAAAAGTGCACGATTTTTTCCTTAGCCGCTCTACTAATACTTTCATATGGGATTCTGACTACCATAACAGGCACCCTTACTTTTGAGTTACTTTATTCATGCTACATGCATTCGATGGAAAGCTCAATATTTAAAAAAAAATGGTGGATTGGATTTATTTGGTGTAAACACCCAACGATACCCCAGAATTATTTTCAGTGGGGTCCTTCTGTTGGTGATTGAGCACACCGGCAGACAATTCCCTGCGGCGCATTGAAATGAATTATCAAGGCCATCAATTCGTAAATCGGTTAACAACAGCCAAAAATTAACACAAATTGAAGACAATAGCCAAAATTTCATCAAAGTAGTTTTGTTTCAATGATTAAATGATCGAGAACACTATACAGATTTAAAAGTGTTTATTTTAACACTTAAGACTTAAGACTTTTTGTATACAGTATTTCTTTTTGAGACGCGATCTGACGACCTCAAAATTCACTCACGGCCCAAACTGGGGTCGCGACCTATGGGTTGCTGACCGCAGTATTAAGCAATCAGCTGAATTTGTGCCATGGATCTGTAGGCCCCTCAGACGATCAACCAGCAAGGATCTGTTACACGGTCAGCGAGCTACGTTCCATTGGAGCTAGGCCACGTCCACCTATTGCTGAGCAAAACCGGATAAAGCACTTACCCGACGAGATGAAACGTCGTCAACGTGGAAAAGCTGGAGGTCTGAAAAAGAGACTTAAATTGCAGAAATGTAAACCATACTTACCTTCTATTATCATTGGTAATGTACAGTCACTACCTAATAAAATTGATGAATTGAGAGCAAATGTTATGCACCTGAATGAGTTCAGGAATGTCAGTATTATGGCGTTTTCCGAAACGTGGCTTACGGAGAAACACCTGGATAGTTATGTCCAAGTAAAGGGTTTTAAATTATTACGAGGAGATAGGACAGAAGAGGCTAGCAAAGACGGAGGTGGAGGAGTCTGTGTTTACATAAATGAGGGTTACTGTCATCCAAACAATGTTGTTATTAAGAATTCTACATGTTCTCCTAATATTGAAATACTGACTGTGAGCTTGCGCCCTTTCTACCTACCCAGAGAGTTCTCACACGTTGTGGTACTTACCGTGTATATACATAATAATAAAGTTGAGAAACCAGCAATTACCGAACTCGGTCATGCCGTCATGATATCGAAACGAAGTATCCCCATGCGATTATCCTAATTAACGGTGATTTCAATCGATGTTCACTTAAAAATACGAGTACGTACTACTATCAACATGTCACATGTGCGACACATGACGCTGCGATTCTTGATGTATGTTACTCAAATATAAAACATGCATATACTTCATCACCACTACCTAACCTATGGAATTCTGACCACAACCTTGTGTTACTTGTACCCAGATATAAGCCCGTCTGTCAACAACAAAAACCAAGCAAACGAACCTTTCGTAGATGGACACAGGATACTGAAGACCAGCTTATTGGGGCATTGAGTGTACGGATTGGTCGGTTTTCTTTGACAGCTCAAATGACATTAGTGAAGTCACTGAATCCGTATGTGCTTACATAGATTTCTGTACTAACAGTGTAGTTCAAACTAAATCAATTAAAATTTATCCTAATAATAAGCCCTGGATTTGTAAAAGTACAAGAGAAATAATTAAAAAGAAAAAGGTGGCTTTTGGTAAAGGGGATAGGGAGCTAGTTAAGATTATTAATAAGGAGTTAAAAAGAGCTATCCGGTCAGACATAGATGTGTATAAGAGGAAAATAGAAAAGAACTTTAGTGAAAATAATATGGGGAAAGTATGGAATGGAATGAGAATGATGAGTGGTTTTGCGAATGGCAAATCAAAATCAACGTCTCTTCCAGATGTTTCTATTCGGTATACGAATCAGTTGAATAACTTTTTTAATAGATTTGACAGGGAAAATTTTAGAGTTGAAAGAGACAAAATATTATCTGAACTTGGAAATAATACAGTAAGTTCGAATTTCTTAACGGATGAAACGACTGTCCGCAACTATTTTAGGAAACTTAAAACATCGAAAGCACCTGGCCCAGATAAAGTACTGCCTAGGGTATTAAAAGTCTGTGCTGACCAGTTATCTTCAGTTTTTTTCCAGTTTGTTTAATTTTTGTATGGAAAAACAGATAGTCCCCAAAATATGGAAGAAATCATGTATTGTTCCGATACCCAAGAGACCAGTGATCAGTGAGATGAACGATCTCCGTCCAATAGCTCTTACATCTGCGGCGATGAAAGTACTTGAGAAAATTGTAATTAATGTGTTTAAACCCTTTGTTAAAAATTATATGGATCCCCTGCAATTTGCTTACTGCAGTAATCGTTCCACTGAAGATGCGCTTCTTCTTAAAAATGATAGATTATATTCCCATTTGGAACATGTGAGCAAGGGCCACTCGGTGCGACTGATGTATTTTGACTTTTCGTCAGCTTTCAACACCTTTCAACCACATATTTTGGCCACTAAACTCATTAATATGAATGTTCCACCATATCTTATTACTTTTATTTTAAACTATTTGACAAATCGACCACAGTATGTAAGAATCGGTAATATTATTTCTGACACCCTATATTGCAGTACTGGTGCCCCGCAAGGCACCGCACTTGCTCCGTTTCTATTCACTATTTACACTGCTGACTTTAGATCAGCTAACTTGTCCAACAATTAAATATGCTGATGATACGGTAATCTTGGGTCTAATTAGGAAGGACGACCTGTCTTTGTATATTTCAGAAATTCAAAGGTTTGTGTCTTATTGTAAAGATAACTTTCTTGTAATTAATACAGAGAAAACGAAAGAAATGGTGATTGATTTTCGAAAAAAGCGGGTTAAGGAAGAAAGTATCATTATTGAAAATAAAGAAATAGCACAAGTTACATCGTATAAATATCTGGGGGTAATCTATGATAATCAACTGTCGTGGGGAATTTTCTTTGACCATTTAGTTAAGAAACTTAATGTGAGAATGTTTTGCTTTAGGAAACTTAATTCTTTTCAGGTCAGGAAGGAGATAATGCTGTCATTTTATAATTCTATTATTCTCGGATTACTTTGTTACTGCTTAGTTTGTTGGGGTGGGAATATTTCACAAGGTGATAGGGACAGATTACAGAAGTTTGTTAACAGGCTTGGGAAGATTATCGGTTCGGAACTGCAATCGGTGCACTCAGCCTACGAAGAACGACTAGTTAATAAGTTTGATAACGTGATGTCTTACGAAAGTCACCCGTTACATTCAACTAATGCTAGTTGCGTTATACAACGCAGCGGTAGACTGAGGGTACCGGC